AATTAATTTTTATTTATGCTAATTAAATTGTTTTTATTTTAAATACAGAAATTATTGATTCAAATACAGTTTATTTAATATTCAATTAAAAAATATTTGGTTGAAATATTTGTTTGATAATAGTCAAGTAATCGATTATTTGAATCAAATAAATTTTTTTTTATCCCATAAATACAAATACATGAAATCATTATTGTCCAAAAAGAAAATTAGAATCACCTTTTAATTAAACATTTATACAAAATGACAAATTTCACAGGTTTGGATAATAATCTTTCTCGCAACTATTTAGTCAATTGGCGAGACGATCTTTTTCGAATACGATTATAAAAGAATGTCATTTAAAAAAAAAAAAAAAATTGTCGCGTGTCCTGAGAATGAGGATAGGAATCGATTCTTGCCTTTTGCTCTTTCTCTCTCTCTTGCAGAATCACAGAGACCTCATTGAGAATTCGAAACGATGTTTTTTCGACGATTTCCTGAAGAACCAGATTTTCGAGAAACGCGTATCGTATTTATATATATATATATATATATATATATATATATATATATATATATATATATATATATATATATATATATAGAGAGAGAGAGAGAGAGAGAGAGAGAGAGAGAGAGAGAGAGAGAGAGAGAGAGAGAGAGAGAGAGAGAGAGAGAGAGAGAGAGAGAGAGAGAGAGAGAGAGAGAGAGAGAGAGAGAGAGAGAGAGAGAGAGAGAGAGAGAGAGAGAGAGAGAGAGAGAGAGAGAGAGAGAGAGAGAGAGAGAGAGAGAGAGAGAGAGAGAGAGAGAGAGAGAGAGAGAGAGAGAGAGAGAGAGAGAGAGAGAGAGAGAGAGAGAGAGAGAGAGAGAGAGAGAGAGAGAGAGAGAGAGAGAGAGAGAGAGAGAGAGAGAGAGAGAGAGAGAGAGAGAGAGAGAGAGAGAGAAAGAGAGAGAGAGAGAGAGAGAGAGAAAGAGAAAAAGTAAGATAAAGGCGGATTCTCGGGGCATACGTGCCGACAGATCTTATCGGGGAAAGCTCGACGGCAAGAGTGACCGTGAGATTGATTGTCTCGTGGCGTTAAGTAATTGGCTGCACGATTATGGTACATTATATTCACCTCGCCAAAGCTAAAAGGAGTCAGTTTTCTGAAGATGAAGACATTACCCAAAGGAGGCGAGAGCAGTCCAAACGGTATTTTTACGAGCTGCTCGTAAACTTAACGAGGAACGAGCCGCGAGGAGCCCAAGATCGAAGTGTTCCACCTTCATTTTTTATTACACACTCACACATTTTCTCTTCTTTCATCCCTCGTCTCTCTCTCTCTCTCTTTTTCGTCTTCCTATCTTTGCACATCTACTGCCAATGAAGTAGTTTTGTATATATAAAGAGAAAGATTCTTCTTTTTTCTTCTTTTTTAAGGTTCATTTTGAAGTTTCCCTGAATCTGTGCGTTTGCACCTGCAAACTAATTGACAACATCAGAGTTCAATTTGCGGCGTTGTCTCGCAATAATATTTTCAGAATTTTTAATAATTGTTTCCTTACTGATGCCGGTATATATTATGCTTTAAAAAAAAAAAAAAACTTGCCGAAAGGGTACAAATTTCACGTTTTTACATAACACCTACCGAAAGGCAATTTTAGTACCAAGTTCAAGGGACTTTTAAAAACATTCTTTTGACTTTTTTTTATCGTCGAGAATTACATTCCTTTTTTGGCATAAGGAAGTACTTTGAGTAGTGTTTAAATAGTTTTTTTTCCTTTCTGTTTAATGAAATTTTTCATCGTTTAACAAAAGAAAAAAAGATGGGTTAAAAAATTTATTTAAACAAATCCAACTATTTACTGTAGGGTCAAAAAAGTTTTCTCTGATAGTAAATTTTTAAAAATTAACACTGATATTTTTTATCGCAGCAAAATTTTTCGTTGCCATATAGCAAAAAATTTAGCTGTGGTTACTAATTTTGATAAATCCGATAGCAAACATCAGTAAGCAATTCCTTTTTTTTTTTTTGTTCGTAAATAAAAATTTTATTTGGCATAAATATTTAAATCTAACAAATATATCTTTTCTCTGTAGGTGTGGAGTTTAGTGGTAATCGAGTATTGGAAATTTATAATAAAATTAATTTTTCTTTATAACTTTTATAACAACTTTTATGAATTGTTAAAATTATTTTTCATACACTCAGAAAAATTGTTTCTTTGAATCAAAGAAGTATTTATTTGATATAGAGTCATAGAAATGTTTTTTTTAATTTATTGAAAATTTTGTTTGATTTAAAGAAAAATTTTTTTATTCTAAATAAAACTTTGAAACTGAAAAAGTATTTTATTTAAATTAACAAATTTTTTTAAAATCAAATAATTCTTTAAATTAAAGAAAAAGTTTTCTTTGAAAATCAAAGAAATACTTTCTTTAATTCAAAAAAATGTTTTTATGGGTATATAGAGTACATTAAAACTATGATATGAAATATAGTAATTGATATTTTCATATTAATATTAAAGCTATAAAGAGGAAAATAAAATATGAATTGAAACGACTGTTGATACAAGATATAATAAATTGAACGTAAGGTTAATTGGGCACATTATTAAATAAAAATAATTTCATTTAATGATAGTAATAATAATTTCCTAATGGTATATGAAAATTTTATCGATACCACTTTCAATTGAACCTGACGCGTAAAATCAAAATAATTCCACTTTCAATTAAAGCTAAGAGTATACACGGAAAAGAACTTTATCTGGAACAGCGATATGTTTCTCTAGAATAGCGAATACTTTCCCTGTTTCAGTGAAACATATCTCTATTCCAGTGATACTTATCGCTGTTCCAGGTAAAGAATTTTCTTCGCGTAAGAAAAATAGAAATTAATATTTAAAAAAAAAACAATTTTAAAAACAATTATAATTATACACTTATATATGTTTAATTGTAATTATAATTATAGTTAAAATTATTTGTTATTATTATAATTATAAATAGTAATAATAGTAATAATAGTAATAATTATGTTCATAATTGTAATTATAATTTATAGTTATAATTATAATTACAAAAAGATATAAATTTTTTATCCCCATAAATGAAGAATTATTTTTCCAAAAAATTGTAAAATAAAGAGTAATTTCTAAAAATGCAGTGAAAAAAGAAAAAATTTGAAACTGCAATTTAATTAACTGACACTAATTAGTGTGAAATGTTCAGATTATTATAGACATTGAAGAAATGCTTCTTTATTTATTTTTAAAAGCGTTAATTATAATTACTGAGTATTATAAGTTGCTTCATATATATACTCATCGTTATAATGTCTCAATTTTGTGCGCATTTATTCTTTCGACAAAACAAAGTCTCTCTCTCTCTCTTTGACGAGTCTTAATTTCTTGTCGGCCTAACGAGCGCACATGCAAGAACTATATATATGTACACATTTTATAAGGCTCATAATGCAATACGTTCCCTATAATTTTCTAGAGTTGCTCTTGAAAAAAAAAATGAAAAAAAATTTTTTTTTTCCACCTTTAAAGAGTAATCTTTCTTTTAAAATAAAGCGTAAAGTGCATAACTTTTATACAGGGGCATAAACATTTATATATATATAGATAAACTTCTTGTTCTTATGGATGATCGACCGCGCAGTCAAAACTATTTATTGAAGCGTTGTAAAGTCAAATGGTTTTGTTAAAGTCTATTTCTTTCATATATATATATATCTATATATCATTTCACAAGTTGATGGTTTCTACTCGACGATTTGTATATAGGAACATAATTTCAAGAACAAAACTTTCCCCACATTTATGGGGTGACAGTGTATAAAAATGCTTTCAAAAAAGGAGATTTATATACCTTTTGTGAAAATCATATATTGTACAGGAGAAAAATTTATTGTTTTCAAGTTCTAATTTTAATAGTAAATTATAATTAATAAATGAAAATTTTAACAATAATTTATAAATTGCAATATACAATTTAATTGTAAAAAAAAATTTTGAATATTAAAAATTATTAAAAATAAAATTTAAAATAACAATACATAGTTTAAAATAAAATGCGTTATAAGGTAGAAGAGAACAAAGTAATATTTTCTTCAAGGACTGCTAGGAAAGAGTCAATTTATCATGTGAGCGTTGAAAGTTTACAGTTTACATGTTAAGACTTTATGTGCAGTTAACGGGCGATTAAACATTCACGTGAAACTTTTGAAGGTGCGAACTAATAAAAGTCACTTTAAACCGGTTCAACTTTCATCTGACATATACAAAATAGAATTATAACTATCGCAAATATGCAAAAGGGAAAAAATAAAATTCTTAATGTGATTAACAATGTTTAATCAATCACTATATATATCTACCATAATATAGTTTTATATAGAGATCAAAATCACCAATGCTACTGAAAAAATAATTTATTTGGTCCAAATAATCTCTTATACTTTTAGCAAATAAATATTTACTTGGACCAAATAATTTTTATTTAAATCAAATTATATATATATATATATTTGTCTCAAAGCAAAATAAAATTTTATTTAGTACAAATAAAATTTTATTAAATGCAAATAAAAATTTTTGTTTAAATCAAATTCAAATTTATTTTATCTAAACATAATTTATTTAAACCAAGTATAACTTATTTAAACCAAATATAATTTTTATCTAAACCAAATAAAATTTATTTGAAATAAAAATATATTTGTTTTAAATACAAAATTATATTTAGCACAAATAAAATTTTCTCTCTAAATGTGAATTAGTAAAAATGTTTACTAATTTGAATTAGTGACTCACTTTTTGCTTCTAAATTAGTGAAATTTTACTAATTATTAGTAACTTTTACTAACAACTAGTAAAATTTAACTAATTCTAAAGCAAAAAGTGAGTCACTAATTTAAATTAGTAAATATTTGTACTAATTCAGATTTAGAGAGTTATTTAGAGCAAAAATAATAAACCTCATAATTCTATAAATAATCGAGTGAGAGGGAGAAATAAAAACTCACCAAGTAATTTAGTGACAACAGCACCTTGTTGATTTAATGACAATACATGATTGGCCAAATCATTGTAATGCCTTAAGGCACCTAATCCATGTGAGAGTTCGAGTAGTCGTTGTCGTGAAGCACTGCTGTTGTTTCCCGTTGGGAACGGTCCGGTTGTGCAGTTTTGTAGACTGACACCTGAAAGCACAAGAGTTGGAAATTAGAGAAGCTTCGTCGCTTCCGTTGTGGGATATTAAGTAGCGTTGGTCACATGTTCAACATCGAAGGCTCTCGTAAAGAATTGTCGAGTGAAAGACGTTTTGTATCTCTTTTTCGCTGACATAAAATAAAGTCAAGAAAAAAAAAATTGTTTCTATATAGAAAAAAAAAATGATATTACCAATATTAATCAAATTCAATTAATACAACAAGAGAGAAAATATATTTATCTCAGAGACAAATAAATTTTACTTGTTTTAAATAAATTTTATTAGTTTTAACCAAATTTTATTTGGTTTAAATAAAAAAAATTTATTTGCGCTAAATAAAATTTTATTTATGCTAAACAAATTTTTTTATTTAATACAAATAACAAGTTATTAGTTTGTGAGTCAAATATATGTTTATTTGATTGAAATAAACTTTACTTGAAACAAATATATATTTTGCCTCTGAGATAAATTTATATCTTCTGCCTGCACCCAGAAAAATGTTTTATATTTGAACCAAATATAACGCATATTTGAGTTAAATAAACGTATATTTAATTTAAATAAAAATTTATTTGAATGAAATAAATATTTATTAGACTGTGAGACAAATATATAATTTCTCTCGATGTATTGAAGAAATAATTATATTGTAAGCTATTCCTATTTTTGTAAATGCAAATTTCGAGTTTTTTTTTTTTTATTAAAGAATCGGTGAATTAATTTTAAAAGAGAAATGTAAAATGAAAATATATGGGAATTCTTGTCCAATCAGCAAGCGATTATTTAAGTGGCAGATGCTTAGGCAATTAGTGCGTCAAGCGTTAAGAACCACTAATTGATAATTCATCTTGAACAGCCAGGTTTCCTAATGACTTAATCGAAAGCGACTATTAATTTTGAATGAACCATCTTCTCTCGTATTTTTACTAAACAAAGAAGTAGAATAAAAAAAAATTAATTTTTTCACAAAATCCTAATTTTTTTTTTATATATAAATTTTCTTTTTATAAATTTTCATCTTTATCTTCCTATGTATGTATTCTATTTATATTATCTGTATTATTTATCTGAAAAAAATTACAAATTTCATATGATATTAAAAAATGATATAAGTAATTATATCGTATTTTCTAATATAAATGTATAAATAATTATATCGTAAATCTTGTTTGAACGTTATCAGCGTTATCAAAACATCATCAAACATTTCGTTTTTCAAATTGGACGCGCATAACATTCATGTCATTGCTCAGGCAGCTTACACCGATTAATATGAAAAATGTTTTCCTTTCAAGAAATTCCTTGGCAATAGGAATTTTACACATTTTTGATGAAAAAAAATTAAATCTAAAATACCAAGTTTTCGCAGTTATATCTAAATAACATTCTACGGAAAACAAATTGCAATGGCGTGAAATTCTAGTCAAAGATTTTATATATTTTTAAAATTTTAGTTTCTCTTTACTTTTGATTTATAATAATAATTGTGATAATAATTTAATAATTATTTTATTCTTGCATTTGTATAGTAGATCAATTATTCCCACTTGGAAAGATTTTCCGGAAAATGCCCCCTGGAGGTTCTATCAGAATTCCGCCGGAACTTCCAACGTAATTCCGTCGGAATTCCATCGGAGTTCCAAAGAATTTCCGATGGGATTTCGACGGATTTACGACGGAATTAGGACTCTAAAATTTTTGAAAAAAAAAATTAATCGGAATCCCATCGGAACTCCGATGGAATTCCGATGGAATTACGTTGGAAGTTCCGGCGGAATTCTGATAGAACCTCCAGGGGGCACTTTCCGGGGAATCTTTCCAAGTGGATTTTTTCTGTCTGACACAACAAGAGTTTTTCTACTTAAAAATTTTTTTCCCAATATTTTTTTGGATTTGTTCTGTCTGACACAACAAGGGAATTTCTACTTGAATTTTTTTTTAAATATATTTTTTCTTTCTTTTCTTTTATTTCTTGTGTCTGACACAACATCAATTTTTCTACTTTGAAAATTGAAATTAAAAATCTCATTGAAGCTTGTTAAATGTTTGTTCCGTTTGACACAATAATGAATTTTCTACTGATTTTTTTCTGTTTTTGAAAACCCTTAAATATTGTATACTTTTATTGAAATTTGTGTCGTCTCGCACAAAAACAGTTTTTCTACTTAAAACTCATTAAATTCATCTTATTTCTAAATTGTTTTCTTAAATATTTATTTTTCGAAACAATTTTCCAATAGTAGCATTCTTCTTAACTGTTTTCTATTCTATTTACATTTTGTCTGATACAACAACTGTTTTTCTACTGAAAATTGTGTCAACATTAAAAATTCTCTATATTTTGCCATCTGATATTTAGTGTAAAAAATCTCACTTTCACTCTAATTTTGATTAAGATTGAAAAATACTTTAAACGACCCATACCATTTATTTTTAAGCAATTATGATGAGATATTTTTCCTCGCGAATCAGAAATAAGAGGAAAACAAAAAAAATAACCAATGCTTCTGTGCTCGATGTATTTTTTGTATATATATATACAGTCTTAATGTTTCCAAGGGAAAACCGGTTCAGAACGACTAATACAACCGATACGTACCATGAAAAAAGAGAGAGAAAAAAAATCGGTGGTAATCGAGTAGGCGGGCTTCGTACGCGCGGGTAAGATCCACGAAAACTGGAAGGACAGTCCTTCGAGCCCTCTCAATGTGCTTAACGAGAGTAGCTCTCTTCTCTTCGCGAAAAAGACGTACTGTCGGTTCGCGACACGGAACCGGTTCTGAACGAGTATGGCTGGTTTCCAGTCCATCTGGTAGGTGTGAACACACCAGAAAGATCTGTGGATACGCAAGAAGTACCTACCTACTTTGTGGCAACGATTGGTATAAACCTAAGTTTTTGTTTTCGGTTCTCATATATACATATATGTGTGTACCTGTTTTTTTAAACACGCATCCCTTTTATATATACCTGACGGTTATACTGTTCTCTTAATTGGCGCATTAGGGTTAAGGTGTCGGATCTTGATTTTCATTTCGACTCCTAACTAAACGTTCACACTGAACAAATTTATTCATCTTGTCGTAAAAGTTCACATATATAATTTTAAACTTTTTTTTTTCGTTTTCTTTTTCATTTTTTTCAAGGGTCAATTTTCTTTTGTAAAGCATATTTAAAACACGTCAAATATTATTTAAATTCTTCATTATGGTGGGGCGCATGATTTTTTCTATAAAAAAGACAAGAATTTTTATTTTAAAGAATTTTATTAGAAATAATTTTTTTTTTAGAAGAATTTTTATTTTTCGTATAAGCATTATTTGACAATTTTTCTATTTTTACGAATTTTTACTTAAGAAAATTTTTCTATCGAATTTTTTTTCTGTAGTATTTTTATTTTATGATCATTTAATTTACATTAATTTTAGTTAAAAAAAATTTTAATTTAATCCAATTTTAATTTAGCAGAATTCTCATTTAATAGAATTTTAAGTGATAGACGAATTTTTAAATTGTAAAAATTTCTAATTAAATTTATTTATTCATTTGTTCGAATTTCTATTTATATGAATTCTTAATTGATAGAATTCTTATAAAAAGCTGATTTTTGACCGAAATTTCAAATGTCCGAACAAACATAACCCACAAAAAAAGATTTCGGCGCGATTTTTAAAATTGACCAATTAGAAATTATCAAGAAAATCGTGATTGGACAATTTTAAAAATAGCACCGAAATCTTTCTTTTGATTGTTCGTTCGGCCATTTGCCAATTTTGGACAAATGAAAATTCGGTGTCTTAAAAATTCGTACAATTAAAAATTCGTACAAATAAAAATTTGAACAAATTAAAATTCGGTGAATTTGAATTTCTGTCATTTAAAAATTCGAATCACATTAAATTCGATTAAATGAGAATTCTGTTAAATTAAAATTGTATTGAATTAAAATCATTTTAATTAAAAAGTCATATAAAATAGATGACTATAAAATAAAAATTCTGCTAAACAAAAATTCGGTAGCTAAAAACTATGTTAATTAAAAATTCGTATAAAAAAAATCCGGCAAATTCGAAAAATTTAAAATTCCTTTAATAAATAATTATTTCTAATAAAATATTTTAAAATAAAAATTCTAATTAATTATTTTTATGGAAAATTCATATGCCCCCCATTATGGTACTTAAAAATATATTTTTTACAAATATTTATAAATATTTACAAATATTTAAAAATATTAAAAAAATTCAAACTATATTTTTAAAAACATTTTCGTATTTTTAGAGATTTTTTAACATTATTGTAATTGCCCGCAATGTTTTAAGGATTTTTTTTGTCAAAAAAAAAAAACAAAAAAAAATTGTGTGTACATTTAAAATAATGATGGTTGACGTGTGCCATTACTATAGAGCTTATGCACAGGTCGAAAACCATGAAACGCTGTTGTCACGCTGATTTAACATGGTTCACCTTCTTTGCAATATGTGTTTTGATGCTTAATAGAGGATAAGGCCAGGTGAAAATTCCAAGATTAAGCAGATTGTTGCGTGACATTAAAATCAAGTTCCTTTCTTAATACTACACGAGAAAAGAAAGTTACTCATCAAGCACGACAATCATTCGAAAAAAAAAACAGATTTTGCTTATCCAAATATACATAGTCAAATGTTAATTATAGAAGGATAAATGACATTGAATTTTTAAAAATTAAAGTTTAAAATAAAAGAAACAAAAAAAAATTATTTGATTCAAATATTTGATTACTTGACTATTATCAAATAAATATTTACTTGAACCAAATAATTTTTATTTGAATTAATTAAATTGTATTCGAACCAATAATTTCTGAATTTGAATTAAATACCATTTAATTGATTCACTGATTATTTAATACAAATAAATATTTATTTCATAATATAGTCAAGTAATCCAGTATTTGAATAAAATAAAAATTTTTTTTTTTTCAACGCATGGTGTGAAAATAAATAT